CCTATAGGAGTAAGAAATTCAAAGGAACTGATGTAATTCTTCACAAGATATAACCTCCAAAATCAGCCTATCTGGAAATTTGGACCTTCAAAGAGTGTGGTACCCAAATCCTCATTCAGAACTGCACTTTTACCCACTTATGATAGAAAAATACATACATATTTACCAGTTATATTGTATTCTGCAGCAGAATTCTTCAAATAGTTCATAATTATCTGGGAATGTTTTTCTTTCTCTTGATAGCGAGTCATTATAGAAGAAAGAATGTTTAAAGTCCTGTTATTAATTTCAAATGTTGGTATATTTTCATTTTGATAAATAATTTTCAACCAGTTATGAATCTCCTATGGAAAGAAAGACAAATGTTAATTTTTCTTATCTATACACAAATAATACTTGAATTATAATTAAATTTGAATCTATAATTATAAATAATTCCGATTTCTCACTTGTATTTGTATTACATTAGAGCTCATGGTTTCAATTTATAAACAAGCTATCACGTTGCCTCTATAAAATCAAATTCAAATATTTGCGATAGAAGCACCATTTGTGTCAAAATTAAATAATAAAATAATAAATTACATTTTTTTAAATATATATAGTTTGTAAATTATTATTACTAATAAAGATAAAGAAATTTACAAAGAGTTAGCAAATTTATTTATATTTGTTTATATATATTTTTTCTGGAATAAATTTTATTTTTAAAACGAGAGGGCGGTGTTTGCCAATATGGCTTCTCCCAGTTGTTCAACGTGGTCGTAGTGTCGGTTTGAATAGTATTAACGAAATTGGAGAAGTTATTGATTTTATTTTATTTTGAGTTATGCCTAAAAACGTTAAATTGAGTTTGAATCCTAATGGAAATTTTTGGGCTAAAGGTAAATTAGATTTTAGTACAAGTTACTTTCGGTCAAATATGTATATGTGTATAAATGAGCTAAGATCCTAAAAGTAACTTCTACGTTTTATTTGATTCATTAATTAATCAAAATATTTAATTTTGCTGTAATATTATAGCTCTGAATGAGGTGTGGAGTGTCGGCCCTCTACTCCTTATTCAGAGCTAGAATCTTATTTAATTAAAGCAGCTCAATAATGAGCTTGATTCACATATTCTTCAATTGTCAGCAGGTAATTCCTAAATCAGTAATAAGAATTGTTTTATATAAATGAAATAAATGCAAATACTACCAACTAAATAAATAACCAGAAATTGTTAAATTTTCTGGGCTATTTTTATAAAAGTAACTCAGATCAATCTAGACCCAAGATTCTCGAGTTTCTCGTTATTATTAAAAAGACCTGTTTCTAACAATAGGTTTTCTTTTCAATTTNCAGGCTTGAGTGTCACACTGCATGTTCTGCGAAGATTGTGACATTAAATTATTTAGTCCATCTAACTACGCTGGCTTTGAATAGCCGACTTGACTGTTTGTGGAGTATTATACAGTTTTAGGGAGTGTGGGGGCTTGTCCCCATTTGAGTACCTCAGTGCAAAACTACGTGCAGAGTGTGGAGCATGGAGAATAGGCAGTAGTATTGATTCCAGGTAAAAGCTGTTTTTAGTCAGTAGAGTTAGTGCATTTATTATTTTCATAGACGTTGCTTGATATGCCTAACTAGGGTTGCCATATGGGACTGTCACCATATTATACTACTCAGTCCTGTATTACTATTTGTCCCGTTTTCTCCCTAATCTCTGTGGGAGGCAGCCGGCAAGTGGCGGCACCCCAGAACTTTTAGTCAATTTCAACTATCAGAGCTTGGTGAATGCTAATTTGTTTCATGTATGTGTAATAAAATAACTAATTGCTTGCTCCTGCACATAGTCTTTCTTAGGTAAAACCATTTTAATATCGGTAATAAAAGATGCCAAAGAGAAAGTATCGTTTTAAAGATGAATATACCAAAAATCAGTCATTTATAAAGAAAGATCAAACTGAATTTGATCAAATACAAACCATATTGATCAGATAATAAAGCTAATAAAGCATTATTATGTCTAATAAAGCTGTGCAAATATGTATTTGCCATTCCAGCCCACAGTGCAAATGTGGAGAGAATATTTTCCCTAATTAATGTCAACTCAATGGT